TAATAAGCCGCTTATTTGTCGGTCTGTAAGTCTGTCTGTTACGAAAATACAGTGAGGAATGATTTACAATACTTTGCAGCATGTGAGGTTAGCGAGTATAGTTCATTTTCAATTAGGACTCTCTCACTGCAGTCAACCTGGCAATAATCTAAAAGAAAGCCTTCATATCGTAAGTTTATCATCGTTTCTTAATGGCCAGTGCGAGCCTCTGCGAAGCAGAGGTGAAGCACAGGTAATCATCATAATTCTTGGCTTTGAACCACCCAAGCAGTACCCGGAAAAATCAAAACTGCTACGGTGAACGCTCAGGCGCTTGTCAAAATTATTTGTTGGGTGTTTCAGATTTTAAGGATATGTCAGTGTTGAAGGCGCTTTTGCATTTTTGCAACTTCGCAAAAGTTGAGACTTTCAGAAAAAATACTGCGAAGCCAGCTGACACAAGTAATTCGTTGCATGCATATTATTTACTTTACCCAACGTTTTCAAAGCTTTCTCAGAAGTTTGAAATGAATATAACCTGAAAATAGCTGAATTTAAGTATGTAAAAACCATAGGATCGAGATTCTAACGATTACTTGAAGTTTACTGAATGGCTTCGAAAGGAAACATTGTTGCTAGGAAGAATAAGGATCTGTGCATCGAACACTATTCAAAGCGTTTCTCATCATTATTCTAAGTGATTTGAGAACAGATCTATAAACGGTGCGAACTTTTGCACCACCTTGATAACTTGGTGCACGACTTGTGTTCTAATATAACGTTTATGTCACTCCCTTGGAATTTGTCCAATTTTTCCAATGTGGGATACACAATCCGATGAAAAGGAACACAAGGTAGATAACTGCAAGGCACGAAAAATAACTCCGCCACCGAGTGTGCAACTCATTGACCCATATGGAATGCATTCGACCGTTGCTGCATTGTGAGACGTCTGTGATTGTGAGGAGAGAGGCATTGCACATGATGACCCCTGTTTGTGCTTAGTGTTGACGTTTTCGAAAGAGGAGTAACAGGTAAGTTAAAGAGCCTTGCACATGGACTGAGCAGACAGAAATGAAAAGTGTAACACATTATCCTCATCTTCCTATTCACCTTGCGTAGCAGAATTACAGCTTGCAAGGAGCAACAAAGTGTACTAGCAGCTATGTGATCCTCCAATGGCAGCTCCTGCTTTTAAACAAGAAAGTTTCCCTTCTGTGAATTTTGCGACCGGTTCTAAAAGGCACAATAATCTTGGACAGCATGAACCCACCTTGGGCACCCAGGTGCGAAAATCATAACCTTCCTCAGTAAATTGTTTCACGAACATGTCTGCCTTTCACTGGAGGTCTTTCTCGGGGACGTTATGCTTCGCGAGATATATCGTCTGTTCTCTCATGATGTGACCGTCCCATCGATGATTCGCTTTCGCAAAGTATTTCGCTGGGTCACGAAGGCGGGGCATTTGCTTTATATTCGTATCGCACAATCCAAGAAGAAGTCGTGTCTAGTCATCTTCAGAAGACTACGCTCAAGCGCTTTTTAAGTGGTCTGTAGAGCTTTCGACGGTAACTGCAGGGTGGGCACAAGTCATAGCTGCGTGAAAAAGAAGGATTCAGTCAAACAGGTGAGCTCAAAGCTTAGAGAGCTTTTGTACCGCGCCGGTTGCCGCTTTTGCAGCCGATAGCCGCTTTCGCGCAGGTTACCGCTTGCAGCCAAAGCGCAGTGGGTCAAGACATTGTCTCAATAGGCATGCGGCGCGAAAACTCACTTATCAATTCATTTTTCTGTGCGTATATCTTTTTCTTGATTTTTCTGTTATAGGCTGGTTTCGAGGTACAAGTCTCTGGATAGTGGCTTTTCTAAAACTTGTAATATTTTCATTAGGGACAAATGCGCTAAGTACTTCTTGCATTCACATGGAGTTATAAATAGGACTGTTATAGATTTTATCAAGCTGAAATCTTATGCTCTTGTGAATGCGGTTGAAAAGCTGGAAGCGATATTGAAGAGTATCTTTATTGAGTTTTTCCCTCAAGTACTTCTCCATGTTCATCGAACGTCTAAGATACAAGTAGGAAGACATCACCATGATGTTGTGCCTTCCAAATCCATTTCCACATCGCAAAGGAGGTTATTCAAAATAAAATCTCCTTCCAACTTGTTCGCATTTCGTCATTTCTTTACTTCATTTAGTCTCCTCAACATCGTCTCTGCTTCAGTGGTGATAATGCTCGAAACAAAAACGATGTCGTTTCGAAGGTACGGGAGAAATTTTCTACCAATTCGTATGCCTGTCTCGTCCCATTCCAGCGACTTCATCACCCACAGCAAGCGGCCATGGACAGCTGGCAAGATTGTGTCGCCGTGTGGCACTTTCAAGCTGGGCTAGTCAGGAGCGATCGAATAGCTGCATCGTCGTCGCTGCACAGTACTAGTAGCAGTCGGCTAACTTAAGCTGAGGTTCACTCCTTGTCGACTAGCGTTGACAGGGCGGCATTGGTTTCATCACTTTTGAAGGCTTTCTCGCAGTTGACAAAGGTTAGGACGACAGGCAGTCGGTACTCCCGGCAGACTTCTATGACCCTCGAAACCGTCTGTAATCCATGCAGCTGAATCTTTTGCGAAATTCAACCTACACGGGGGGGGTCTGGATTTATCCATTATCATAAATATGCGAGCGAGGAAAAGTGAAATGAGTGAAAAGCTTGTACAACATACCCAGACATAATAGACTAGCTCCAGAAAACCTTTTGCCCTCTTCAAAGTTCTAGTGTTTAGAAATTCTTTCTTTTGAAAGTAAAATGAGGTCTTGGTACCTCATTTTCAGCTGGCTAGAGCGTTCTTCACCGATCGGCACCTCAAACTTTAGTAATTAAACCTTTATTGATAAAGTATATATTACATTAAAAACACAATATGCAAGAGGAACGGCAATACAGTTGAGATACGCGGAAAATTAAAAGTGAGATTGTTTAAAATATAAAAAAATAAAAAGTATACAGGGTGCGTCAAAAGTCTGGGAGCCAAACTGACCATCTACTCATCCAATTGACCTTGTTGTAAATTACAGAAGTACTCATGATTTTGATGAAGTTTTGTGCCACATAATGTTGCGATCATCCTCTTCAAATCACAAGTTAAGCTGAAAATGCTGGACATACGCTTTTGTAAGAATTGGAATTATTACACAAGTGTAAAGCGGAGCGAGCAAATCAAAAATTTTTAGTACTTTCATTTCATCTTAGCTATTGAATACTTGGATATTTACAATCCTTTGATGCACACATTGTAGAAGAGGCTTTGCGTTATCACATCGTAGAATTCTGCGTTTGCTAAAAGTTGTTTTTTTGGAAACAAAAAAAGGGTTTGCAAATGTCGCCTGGGTGCCATTGGTCATCCGTCTTCAAAACAAATTTAGAAGCTATAGAAGCGCAGCAAGCACTGAGTCTTAGGCAAAGTTTCTCTAAGTCTTATATATAAGCATCCAGTTGAACTCCGTACACGGAGCAATTTCAATACTTCTTACATTATGATTTTCGGCTTTCCTTCGCGCAATGTCATCCGAATTTTTATATGCGAGTGACCTGCCTTCACTTAAAATTATAAAACTTTCATTTTCAAACAATGTGAAAAATTTTCCTGCAAGTATGTTGTAGACAAAAGCTGGTTCTATTGTGCTGCAAATTTGCTTAGTGAAAGAACAGTTATTTTGAAGGCGTTAAACAAATCTTATTATGATTACCTGCGTGCCAAGACAGCTGGATCGCTACGATTCTGAAGGGCTGCTTCAAAGGCAAAAGAGGTTCTTTTCTTCTAATTTTATCTAGAAAAGTACTAGGCTCCCAGACCTTTGACGCACCCTGTAAATACAAAATGCGAAGAAATACATAAAAGACATAACAATCGCCAGCCAACAACCATAACTAAGTGTTCTTGTCCCACATAAATGCTACATCACATTACTTTATCGATGAGATCTATGCTTCGAGAGAGCTGCGTCGATACCATTTAACAACTTTACTCTCCCTTTTTTCATAGAGAATCGTGAATCTTTCTCGCAGTCATGTTTTGAGAAACTCGATGCATCCCCTTAATCAGTTACACTGCCTTACCGTACTTTGAGTTAGTCGCGCAACCGCGATAGGAGATATTGTTAGATGCGACGCGAAAACATCATGTAGACGTCTTAAGCTCCGCGTCCAGCCAAGCAGAATGGTGTCCTTGGATTCAGGATTCGTCCACTTTAAAGCAAGATATGGCCACGCGAAGGTGATATTACATAAATCAGCGATCGTCACATAACTCACGCGACCATCGCCCGATTCACACTGATCTCGCGGGAATATACTTTGACCCGCGTCTTTTTTCCCAAAATTCGAGCGATATTGTAAGCTACAAGCATTATGCTGTTTTACAAAATGTTGGCCGTTGCAGTGAGAATTATAATCCAAAGAAAATAAGTTATATTAGTACAGATTTGGCTAAAACTCAGCGTAAAAGGGGGTGTACTACGCTAATCACGAAAACAATACTGAAGGTTGCATGGTTGGAATTTTTTTTCGGTGTAGCTTGTTTTCTGGCATGGGATTCTCATCACGAAGGTTTAATTTGATTCAACAAATGTTTGACATATATTTGTTCGGCAGGTGATAGCCCCATATGCATGTCTCAGCTAATTTTGAGGTTCCGACTAGGATCAAGCAAAAGGTGTGGCACGAGGGTTGAGACTAAAACTGATTCTTTCTAAGCTTCTTAGCATTTTTAGCAACCAATTTCCAATAATATTTGAAGGTTTTTTCACTACCTTTTTTGCGTCATATGGCAAACTAAATTTGCTTTTAGCAGAAGGCATTATTTTTGGCTTTTTAGCTGCAGTAACAAATCTGCAAAACTAATAAAAATGAATTTGAGAATTTGGGAGAACGTAAGGTGGTCATTGTTGAAGACTGGTTGTTGAATTTTGCTCCAAATTTGACAAAGTAAGTTTTCTTCCTGTGATTGCTTACACTCTCCTATGTGCCAGATATGAATGCTTTATCTATCCGTCACGCATTGTTAGTTTCAGTTGCCAAGAAATTTCCAATGGCATTTACCCACTGGTGTGCTCCAGACACCAGCAGGAAGTTGTTTTGCATTATCACAGAAGTCTCTGACTACTTCATTTTCATCCAGCGGTTTGTTGCTCCATGTCGGACGTGGGCCTAGATGTTGAAGAGATGGACCTGTATAAACTTGTGTACCTTCAAAGCCTAAATCAGATGACCGTTACCTATTAGCTCAGAGACGACGGAAATTATCTGAAAGTCCTGCTTCATATGCGCCAAGTAAGAAGCTGTAGGACGACTTACCGCAAAAACAGCGCAGAAAAATTCCATTTAGCAGATCCTGTCTGAGCCTTCAAATAGAGATGTTATTTCACTAGTAAAACCCGCTGAAAGAAGAGCTTCAAATCGACGACTAATAGAGCAGCTGAAATTTTTTTACAAAATGCAGCTCTTTTTGAATTGTAGCTTAAATAGAAGTTGGTGCGATTATTGTTTCGGGCAAGCTTGAGAATAATAATAAGCAATAACGAATCATGTAAAACGGTAAAACATGTGTTATGTCTTTTCAGAGCGTCAATAAAAATAGAATTCGCAGTCATAGGATTTTCTTCTAAAATACCTTTTGTCCTACGCTTGTGCGGAAAATGGCTGATATTCAGTTTACGATTTTGTATGAAATCAAAAGGAACGATATTATTGAAAATGCGCATAAAGCGAAAAAGGAAAATAAAATATCCTCCTTTGAAGCTTCAAGTTTGTTCTAGAACAGTTATATAACTGATCCAGTTCTCTACTTGTTGTCTTGTAATCACTTTGCGAAACTTTCTAAACTATACTTTGAAAACTGTAGATGATAAGATGCTGCGATGGTCTCAAGATGAATGTCAATGTCCTGCAGACAAAGAAGTGTACGCCACACGTTCACATGTTTGCCAAAATGTTTGAAATGTTTCCTTTTTCATTTTAATCAGCTTGCTTATTCTGAAAAAAACACTTGGTGAAGTATGCAAACTTTTCCATGAGGTAAATTGCAATTGTTACCCTTTGCCAAAGTATGGCTACGCTATGGTTGTGATGTGGTTGCGCTATGTTTGAATCAAACCTTTACCTCCTCTGCAACCTGGAACATCCTTGACGTATTCAAAAAAAATCACTCGTAGTATGAAAGCACTTTAAGGTTATACGAATGAAGGGTTTGCACAAGTGTCGCAAACAACATATAATCATCTTATTCTCTCTTTGACTTGTTTGATAGTAAGTCATGTAACTACGGAATGTGATTCAAAACAACTTCATTGAGTCCTTTTTCTGATTGCCTTGAGGGAGGTTGAAGTGAATTATAACGCGAACTTGTTCACAGATGCGGCCGAAAATCGCTGAAGCTCGTAAGATTTTGAAAAACGCATTAAAAGATATGTTACTGGCTGAAAGGCAATGTTTCTCAGCTTTTGAAAAGAAAACAGACGTTTGCCTCTATTTGAGTGTTTCGTGTATTACTTAGACTAAAGGGTGCCAGTTATTCCAATTGCAAAAGTATGCCTGTCTTAAGCTAGTACATTGCAGAATCATGCCCTTCCGAGGATGCATATTTGAGGGGTACATAAGCCTTCCAATTACCCTAATTTCACGCGTACAAGGCGCAATTTTCGATTTTTCAACCAAGCCCCTCAGCCGCTCCAAAGTATTTCAGAAAGCAATCCTTATGCCGTACGATTCTCTTAAGCAATATACAGCACCGCACAGGGTCCTTTGGTTGCGAAGTTCCTTGGCGTATTGGGGCTATTCAATTTTGGAAAAAAATCCCTGCGCCTTGTACGCGTAAAATTAGGGTACTATTCAACTGACATGGTAGTGTTTGCACGAAGGAGAAATTTGAATGTAGAGACCCTTTTTGAAAAAAAGCACCAAAAGTGGAACTACACGATGAAGAGACCTTCTTTTTTGCTTTTTATTCCACTACTATTTGTTTCACTCACACCACTTGTATACCACTTTGTCAAAGAAGGGGACATCTGCACGGAAGATACCAAAGTTCTCTGCTGCTTCAGTCGCTCACGATCTTCTTGTTTGTTGTCGGTGGCTGAGTCTACGACCTTCAGGTCGAGAAACGCCAATTTCTTAACTGGCCCATCCGTTCCACAAACATATCTGCTCATCCGTTGGTGGTCTTCTTAGGACTTTTCCGCGAGGAATCCATGAAGCTCGTGGTGTCTGTCCGTCGTCTGTTCTTCACATAATGTGATTTGCCTATCGTGTTTCCAACGTATTCCGCTATGACGCGCCATAATTGATCCGCTTATTCCACTTGATCCCTTGATCCGCTTCGTCAATGGTCATTTCAATGAACAGGCCAGGTGAAAGGATGATGTTGATCAAGCGGATCAAGTGGACTGCTCGCTATCGGTCAGTTCACTAAATCGACCAATAACGAAGCGGATTAAGCGAATCAAGTGGACTATGCGGATCAAGTATGGTGCCTACCTATAACAGGAAGACGAGACGTCCTTTCCATATCCTCATTGCGAAATCTGACAAACGCTTGTTTGTGTCGGATGGTCTTCATAAGACAACTCTAGCTAAGTTTCAAGCAAGTGTGCAAGATCAACAAATCAAAAGCTTGGTAAACTAATAATAACGTGCAGCTCAGAATTCTTCACCTGCAAGGCCTTTGTACTTATGTACAATACATCATCATCGACAACTTTCAAGGTAAGGTCTACAAACATTTTACGATGTGTCTACAAGAGAATAGTAGAAAACTGAAGCAAGCCTTTTATGCCCAGCGCAGTTATAAATAGGGACCTCAAAAGTTGTTCGATTTTTTGCTGCTTCTGTAGTTTTTCTGCTGGTACCCCTATCAGCCGTTTTTCGTTCAAAAACAACAAGTAAAACCTTAAACAAAAAACTCAAAGAATGTGATTAAGGTTACTGCCGAAACACATTGTTGATGCTCCTTGTTGATATCATAATTTTTTTCTTGCTGCATCCAAGTGGCACCCACGGTATAGTGTTTTGAAAATGTGGGACAGTGCAGATGATCTTCATCATGTTTAAACTATGGCAAGTTTGATGTGGGTCCTGAAGGCACACAAGCTCTTATACCTCTAAATTAAGTGACATAAAGAACTTAGGGTGCATGACATTTGACAGATGGACCTATATAAGCTCATGTCTCTTCAGAACCCAAATTAAGCTTGACCATGATCAGCTAGCGCAACATTGCCTCAATGCCGTGCATTATCTGCATACTCGAAAAGCTGTAAATCGAACTACCGCGAAATTATCGAATAGGTAATTCAAGTTGTAGTTGTCTAACCCCTAAAGTGATACAAATTTGGAAGATTGTTTCTACTTATGGACCAACACTAAAACAAGCAACTTTTTGCGCCGCTTGACTTCAAGTCTGCCGAAAAACTTGAGAGAAGCAACAAGCAATAACAATACGTAAATGATGTCGAAAAGGGAAATATCTGTTTTGAGAGTCAACCAAAACTGGATACACTATTTAAGAATTTTTCGTTTAAGGAGGCCCTTCTTTTTACTTTCGTACGAAAATAACCGATAGTGAATTCAAGTATGTGTGAGGAAGTGCAAGGTAAGATAGGGTGAAAAGGTAGCGGATACCACCAGAAACTACCCCAATTTTACAAGTACAAGCACCTTTTTTATGTTTCAATCAAGCAGCTCAGCCCCACCACCGCGCTCCGAGAGATGGTCGCTTTCTCATACAGTTTTCACTCAGATAGTCGAAGGGATATATCCGAAGGGCAAATGGCGGGGGTCTGCCACTTCGTGCTCCGGAGCCCTCCCATTTCACCCATTTTGGTGCTCCGTAGGTCCTCCAAATCTGGCGCACGCCCGGAGCAGTGATTTGCGAGCCCGGGAAGGGGTCCATTCGGGGGGAGCGGAGAAGGCTCGCAAATCTCTGCTCCGGGGCGCGCCAGATTTGGAGAATCCCCGGAACACCAAAATGGGTGAAATGGGAGGGCTGCGGAGCACGAGTGGCAAACCCCCGTTGGGCAGAGCGGGGAACCCTTCTGTTTTCGCTCCGGAAATATCCCTTCGACTGTCTGAGTTGGTAGAGGACTCTTTGGTTGCGAAAATTTTTGGTGTGTTCAGGCTGGTTGGGTTAAAGAGAAAAAAAACAGGTGCTCGTAAAACTAAGGCAAAAAAGCAGCAAAAAGGCGAGACAGTTTTTTTGAAGTCTCTTGTGCATATCTGCGCAGGCAGTGAGAGACTTGTTTGGGATTTTATTCTTTTGTGAAAACACCATAAAATGTTTGTAGCCATACCTTACAGCTTGTAGACGGCGATGTACTGCTTGGAAGAAAAACCTTGCTACACGTTATTATCACTTTACCGAGCGTTTATTTCGTTGATCTTGGTTAGCTTGTTTGATTTAAAAAGAAAACATCTGACGTGGTGCAGCCCCCCCCCCTCCTCGAACCTTTCAAACAAAAAAAAATATAAAATGGAATGGCCGCCTTTTGTCAAGATTTGCATTATGGTCGGTATGTGGTTTCAACATAGTCGGAAGCGGTTGCATGGTCGGAGCGTGGTTGCATCGGATAAGCATAAAAGCTTCTTATGAAAGGCGACAACTTCCTTATATAGCGACTGCGTTTTATCTTCCGAGTTTGAGAGGAGTATCGAGTAGAAACGAATTATATGCCATTTTTTGCTTCACTTTTCCACTTTAGAAATCTGCGATTTTTGAGTGGATTGAGAATATGCTTTGGGTTTAGTAAGGGATCTCCATACCTTCCTCCGCTGGTGGCGGGAGGGCCTTGAGTGTTAAGAGATTTCGTGTTTACTGGAATTTAGATATGTTAAATTTGCTGCATTTCTGATAGGAAAGCTAAAGACTGTTCAAGAAATTTCGTACACTTTCAAAGAAAAGCCGAATCCATCTTGGAAGTAAAAAATTTCAAGGTACTTTGGTAGGCGAACTGAATAGTATCAACGGGTACTGCGCATTTCCCTATGGAAAATAATTGATGAAGTTTGCCTGCACTCTATAGACCTCTACAGACCTCCCACAAAACGCTTGAGTGCAATCTTTTGTATCGTGCTTCGCATTACGGATATGGGTAGAATGCCCTATCTTCATGAGCTTAATGGAATACGTTGCGAAAGCGAAGGATCGATGGACCGATCACTAAAAGAACAGACGATAGATAGACACCCAGAGCATCAGTGTTGTTCATCGCAGAACAAAAACCGAAAAAGCCCACCAGCGAGATGGGCAGACATGTTCGTGGAATAACCGAGTTATCTGCTGGTACGCTTCTCGCAGCTTCAACTTTTAGAAGCAACCAACAACAACCAAGAAGTAGTGGATGTTTGAAGCGAGAGAAAGGAACTTTTGGAAGTGTGCTGAGGTCCGCGCGCCGCGTAAAGACGGCCTATCTAAATATCTCAGTAGGGAGGATTATCAGTGACGAGTTAGGGAACTATAGCAATTATTGCATTTTCACAAGTACAAGTGGCTTCAAAAAGAAAGTGGCTTTTTTTTCGCTGTCAAAGCAATTTTCTCCTGGTAATCGCGATATCAACAATATCGTGCCTCGTGCTTTCCCATATTTCTAAATTTTATATCAGCTATTTTTCATGCAAGCGTCAAACCAAAAACCCTTTAGAACAAAATGTCTTGAAAAGCATGAATTCTTTTCATTGACGCTCAAAACAGGCATAATACATATCATTTAGGACTCGTTACTGCTTGCTATTGTTCTCAGGCTTGCCTAAGATATCGGCAAACTTGTATATAAGTTACCATTCCCAAAAATTGCATTTTGTAAGAAAACTCTGCCCCTCTAAAAGTGGTAAGCATGGAGTCCTTCTTTGCGATGGGTTTTTTGTGAATCATGAAACTTTACCATTTGAGGATTCAGGCAGGGACTGCAAAATGAAGTTTTTCTGCATTATTTTTGCGGTAAGTGGCATTACAGCTTTTAGTTAGCACAGATAATGCAGGGCATTGCAGATGATTCTCATCCTCTCTGATCTGACCGGTAATGGTTAGGCTTGATTTAAGCTTTGAAGATACACAAGCTCAAACAGGTCCATCCCTTCAAAAGGTGATAGAAGAACCATGGGAACGAGTGCTAACAGAGCATGATGTCAGAGGCTTTTGTGACACTTCGAATTTACCCAATGTTGGTGGTGTTTGGCGGACACCAGTAGGTAAATGCGAATGGACAAAAATTGGGAAGAAGAAGTAACATTGTGCAATTCGAACTAATAAAGCATTTGATTGTGGCGAGAAGGGGAGTGCAAGCAAGCAAAGCAGTAAGTTTATCCTGTCATACTCGAAGCGAGATTCATTCAACATTTATTTTTGACACTGATGAACAAGCAGTCTAACCTTACGTTCTTTCTTTATTTAGAAGTCTCAAACAGTCGTTATTTACATTATTTTCAACAGACTCACTGCAGGTTGAAGAGCAATCATGCACAAAGCAATCATGCATCGACAAAATTTATTTTGTCCTTTTACAGAGACACTACTTAACAAAAGGAAAAAAAATCTTGTTTTGTAGCTGGTTGCTAAATATGCTAAAAAGCCTAAGAATATTTACTTTGAGGTCTATTTATGGTTTTGGTCATATCAAAAAAGCATTATTTGCTGCTGAAGTCAAATACTGCATAATGTTTAGAGCTAGAGCCGAGCTAAACTCAATCATTGACATCACTATCCTACGAATTAAAGGAGTGATTGTCGGTTAATATAAATTTAAGATACAGTAAAGCGTACTCGTAAAAGTGAACATGGCGACTTTTTCCCTGAGTGCATGTGCAGCAATGAAATTATAACTTAAAAAAAAGGGAGAATGATCCATTGAATGTTGCCTTGATTGATAACTATTTTAGGTTTCACGAGGATAGACAGATGATTGAACTTACTTTTCGAAAACTTGACTTCTATGTTTGAACCAGTGGCTTACAGCTAACAAAACAATTTTATGAGCCATAAAAGACATTTTTTCTAAGAATTGGCGGAACTTGGACATGACAAAACTAACCATCTTACAGGGAAGTACTATCAATGGCCGTGGCCTTTTGATATGAGATGCATATCATCTGAAGCAGCTTCGAACGCTGATTTCAAATCTGCTTTCCATTTCTGCGGAACGCTCTTCTGAAGAGAGTTATAGAAGCCTGAACATTCTATTTTGGGGGCGCTCCTTGAATTTGAGGGCGCTGCTATGTGCATTGGTGGTGCAGTAATGTAGTGGTTAGTTTGAATTGAAAGCGAGAGGTTGATGGTTCGAATCCAGTGGAGAGCGAACTAGTTTGCTTATTGAATGTGAGTTTGAAAGCACTCTAAATTGCCTGCAGACACTTACTGTAATGCCTTTGGCATAAGTGACCTAGAAAAAGAATTGCTTCTGGCAAAGCTGCTTGTAATGAAAGTCTGAAATTCTATTTGACTTCCTTACTAGTGAAACAGGGCCAAACATGGCCTAGCACGTTTGTCACCATATAGTGCTCAAAAAATGCACACTGTCATTAGTCGAAAAGATGTTCCCTCCTGTTTGTGCGAAGGCACTACAGTAAGTGTCTGCAGACGATTTAGAGTGCTTTCAAACTCACATTCGAAATGCAAAATGGCTCGCTCTCCACTGGATTCGAACCATTAACCTCTCGCTTTCAATGTCAGCAACTAACCACTACATTACTGCACCACCAATGCACATAGCAGCACCCTTAAACTCAAGGAGCGCCCCCAAAATAGAATGTTCAGGCTTCTATAACTCTCTTCAGAAGAGCATTTCGCAGAAACGGAAGGCAGATTTGAAACCAGCGTTCGAAGCTGCTTCAGATGGTGTGCATCTCATATCAAACAGCCACGGCCATTGAAAGTACTTCTTAATGTCAGTGCTAGTTGAAACAGTCTCATGGAGGAACGAATGCACCATTGAAATCTTGTATCCTTACTTCACAGGATTTGTGGATAGGACCAAAAACAGAAGTCCTTCGCACCGACCCTCAAATGATAAGCAGCGCTTGAATACTTTTGAAACAAATTTCCGATATTTTTAGGACATAAAGCAACAACTCCGCAATTACGCAAGATAGCTGGGTGGTGATGATAGCTACAGCCCTACTATCCGTGCACATGAAAAGAGAGAAAATGGTAGAAAGTACTTTGCAAGATTTACAATCATATTAAATCCGCGCCGAATTCGATGGTAACAATGCCCGCGGACTTCTTCGTAAGTCCGTAATTACACTCCGTTTCTTTCTAAGTATTCAGACGTTTGTAGACAAAGGCAGACCAAAAAATTCTAGAGTTGAAAAGACGTACAGTTATAATGTTACAATACCGCATTTTTGTTACCGTATGAGCTCTGGAAGTGATATTTTCGCTCGATACACGACAGCAGGAAAACAGAGTCAACAGTGACACAAATTTTTCAGCTTCTTTCGATCATAGACATTTGGTGATGTACTTTTCTTCTTTCATTAAAGTAGCAATCGAGATGGGCTAAAGAAAGAGATACAAATTTAGCAGTGGAGAAAAGCTACACTTTGCAGCACCATCTTTTGACAATTAAATTCAAAAAATTTTTTTTGCCAACGGTGATTTGACCCTTTTTCTCTTGCTAGAACATGAAACATGACCAGCAGTTTACGACTGTATTGTGCAGATCTCTGACCTAATCAGCTCATATATGCTTATGCGCCAACGAAATGGCAGGATTCGTTTCGAAAAACATAAACAAAGCATAATTTTCCAGTCGACAGTCATTTAATCATACATGGTGACACAAAAGTTAAAGCAAGTATTCTATGTTGAATAAATCTGTGAATCAGTCTCGTTTGATGACCTGAACTGCTAGTTGCAAAATTGCCTCAAAAAATTTGCTTCTGCGTCAAATATCTGTGATCTGCTTTTTGAATAGGAAAAACTGAGTGATTTTCAAAATTACTGTGCTGTTTTTGTGCCACAACAACCAAATCAACACATTGCTAATTGAATGAATAAATGTCTGCAGCTTTGTCTAACAAATCACTCAACGTTTCAAACATTATTCAACGCAGCGTCTCCTCTTTTAGGTGGTTAGTTTTATAATCAAAATGCAGAAATTTCGAGCTTTTACCATGTTTAACTTAGAGGCACCGTCCACTAAAATTGATTGGCTCCCTTTTGAATAGGCGTACGTTCGTTCCGCCTATCCGTGCGCACCTAACCAATCACCGCTTGAAGAGCTCGCCCTGCTGCAGGTTCTGCGAAATGGGGATTTTTGGGTTTCTTCATACTACGCCGCAGGACGCGGCAGCCTGCCTCGTGCGCCGCGTACGCCGCAGCGTGCCGCGTGCGCCGCAGCACGCAGCGAGAATACGCTCATGGCAGCACATGCTGTCTATCGATGTATTTCTGTATCTGCTACTCTTCGTGTTCTCCGAGTGTTCACAGCGAAACTTTGCTTCCATGGGCGTATTTTCTGCGAGCAGCGCACGCTGCGTGCTGCGGCGTAGTATGAACGAACCCTTTGGGATTTTCGCGCGTTCTCGACTTAATCCTGGAACCATGGACATGAGAAGGCCCCGGAACAACAAAAACATGGAAGTCGAGAATTGGATGGGCGTTGCTTTCAAGCAATCTTTCGCTTATTCGTTTCGCATTTATGTGCACTGATAACACATGAATAGAGAAAAATGCGAGGTGATGAAATCTCATTGATTTTCTAGTCAGCTTCTCGTACTTCCTGGGCATAATTTTGTGTGAGATGAACACAAATATCATAAAAATATCATACTATCAAATATCATGCAAATATCAATTCAAATTCATAAATTGGTGAAAGGTAAGTAAATCAGAAATCCTTTGATGCAGTTTTCCCTTTTTATGGAAAGTGTCTTCTCCTACTAGTGTCAATTCTTCGCGTTGAATTATTAGGCTATCTTTTATCTTCTCCGATATTGACAATGGAATTCATATCTGAGCTGCATTAGAAAGTGAAAACTTCTTTGGACCAGGATAATGTCAGATTGAGCGAGCCATGCACGTTTATGCAGTAAATTGCGCCAGCTGTTTGCGTAAGTGGCGCACCGGAACATAGCGTCTTAACTTGAAAAATGTGGTGATCAAATCAAACGTTAGAAAAATCACCACAAAAAAGGAAGCATTCTTCAACCTTTTAGAGGGTTCATCAAATTAAACCCAAAATCTAAGGTATGATGGATTTATTCGATTACTTTGAGCTGGGCAAAAAAGAGCAAATAATCACTGGCTTGACTTCAGCAGCCATATGTTGAATACATCATCAGCTAAATTAAAAACAGTGAGGACTGCAAATTCAATAAAGCCACAAAAATTCTATAAAGCTGCCTAATGCAGCAGCACGCATAGATCTTCACTTTTCTGGTTTTGCTCAAAAAGTAAGATGGCAAAGCTGTCACATGCTTTCCTTGCAGCATTGTTTCTTTGGTGGGAACCAAGTGTCGTAGGCAATAGTGGTGTCGATAATAATCTATCCACAGACGAACCCGGTGTTGAACCGGGAGGAGCAACCTATAATACAATCGGGGGCTCCTTATATAGGTAGTAAGGCGGAGCTGACCCGTGCACAATCAGACTGTCCAAGAAATATATGCAAGAAAGAGGATGCCGCGGCTTGGTGCGGCCCCTGGAAGATAGGTGCCACTCACTGGTGAGTGATTCGGCACTTAAATATAAGCGACTAGCTGGCTTACCCGGCTCCGCCGTATCCGGACCAAACTTGGCACACATACACTTCGGGCCCCGGCGGGTGTCACAGTCCACTTTTCGTTATCGATCGATGTCGATTTTACCGATTTTTATCGTTTTCTTTGCAGAGTTCACCTACAGGGCTAGGAGTTGGCACAGGGGGGGGGGAAGTGAGCATGGGGATTCCGAATACAATATTAGTTTCCAGAATTATCGATTACTTTTATTGATTTTATCGATTTTTTGTAAATTTTGACATGCGAGGCTGGGATTTTGCAGGGTAATCGAGCATGCTGATTATGAACACAATATTAGTTTTCAAGATCGTCCATTACTTTTCATTTTATCGATTTTTTTGTAAAGTTTGACCTGCGGGGCTGGGAGTTTGCACAGGGGGTAATCGAGCATGCAGATTACGAATACAATATCAGTTTTCAAGATCGTCCATTACTTTTATCGATTTTATCGATTTTTTGAAAATTTGAGCTAGGGGGCTGGAATTTGGCACAGGGTGTAATCGAGCATGCTGATCACCCCCCTTGGAGATGATCAGCATGCTCGATTACCCC